GAGGCTGAGGTGGGCAGATCATTTGAAACCAGTTTGGTTGACATAGTGAGACCCCATCTCACATACTGAGACCCCTACAAAAAACTTAAAATATTATGCGTGCCTGTAATCCCACCTACTTGGAGGCTAAGGTAGGAGGATCTCTTGAGCCCGGGAGATCGAGGCTGCAGTGAGCCATGATTACACTATCGCACTCCAGCCTGGGCAACAGAGCAAGACCCTGTCTCTGTGTGTGTGTGTGTGTGTGTGTGTGTGTGTGTGTGTGTGTGTGTCCCACGCTATGGGGAAAGTAGTTCAGCTATTTATTGAGCACCTGGTATATACTGGACATTGTGCCAGGCATGGGGAATAGAAAGATGGCTGAGATGGGATCTTGCCTTCAAGGAACTTTTAGTCTAGTGGGAGGGAAAATTTCAGCAAAATATTTACCTGCAGTGATAAAATGAAGCGTACACATGATGAGGCTTCCTGGGAGTTGTGCTGCAGTAAGTCCTCAAGGTGACTTGGCCAGGGACATAGAGATGTGGCTGGGCAGGGTGTGGGCAGGGAGAGGAGGCACCACATAGGCAGGAAGGAGCCAAGCCTTGCTGAGGAGCCTCTGGCATCTTAGAGGTCATTGGAGAGGGCAGGCCCGTCATGATGTTGGCACTGGACCCCAGGGAAGGAGCTGGCTTACCAGTGTTACCCATTCTTAGAACATTCAGTGTGATGACTGGCCCTCTGTGGAGTCTCGGGGTCCCAGAGCTCTGGCCCCCTCACTCCCCATCCCCAGCAACTTGGGAGCTCCCGGCTCAGCGGCTGTGCCTTCTGGTGGCACCTGTGCTGCTCAGCTCCACTCTGGTGTCATTCCTCCACCAACACCTAGCTTGTGTTTTGTTTTTGTTTGCGATGGGGTTTCTCCATGTTGCCCGGGCTAGTCTCAAATTCCTGGGCCCAAGTGATCCACCCAGCACAGCCTTCCAAGTAGCTGGGGTTATAGGCGGGAGCCTCCATGTCTGGCTTAGCCATCATGTGTTTTGTAGCTGAAATATACCAAGCTGGTTCACATCTTGTCTCTCTTAATTCAGATAACTGTCAAAGTAGATACTTTAAAATCCTCCTTTTAGGCTGGATGCTGTGGCTCACACCTGTAATCCCAGCACTTTGGGAGGCCGAGGTGGGTGGATCACTTGAGGCCAGGAGTTTGAGACCAGCCTGGTCAACATGGTGAAACCCCATCTCTACTAAAAATACAAAAACTAGCCGGGTGTGGTGGCGGGCACCTGTAATCCCAGCTACTTGGGAGGCTAAGGCATGAGAATCGCTTGAACCTGGAGGCAGAGGTTGCGGTGAGCTGAGATGACTCCATTGCACCGCAGCCTGAATGATAGAGTGAGAGTCTGTCTCAAAACAATAAAAATAAAATCCTCATTTTAGGAGTTTTTAATTAAAAAATGGAAGCTCAGACCAGGGAGGTTTTTTGCCAGAGGATTGAACTAAGGTTTGTCTCCTGTCCTTCCCTCAGAGGCTGAGAATGCGCTCATCTAACTCTGGAGGCTGCCCTTGTCGGGGCAAAAAAGTTAAAGGTCATATGTACACACCAGGGTCCAAACAGTACTCTGCTTTCAGGTGACCTGTGTGGCAAAAGCTACCTTTGGCAGGAGTTTGAATTGGCAAGAAAAAGAAATCACAGTGGGCTTTCTTCAAATAGGCTCCTTCCTGTACGTTCGTGGCATGCAGTGAATGCCATCAGCATTGAGTCTAACACTTTGGCTGGCAAGGGAAGGCCTGCTCACTGAGGTTCGTGGATGAGGCAGAGGCAAGGTAGGCTGGCCGTGCATGGCCGAGGGCCCTTGAGCTGGAGGAAGGCCCGCAGAACACCAAAGTAGCCTTCTGCACACATCCATTCTCCCTCCTCCTCCCGTCTAATCCTGGCCACCCACAGGAAGTGCATCAGGTAGCAGGTCCCCGCCATCTGGTTCCTTCCTGGGTCTCCGCACCCTCGTGCTGCCCCTCTGCATAGACTACCCTCACTCTGCCCTGAACCACCAGAGCATGGCCCAGTCCTCAGCTCTGTGGCCAGAGCTCTGAGCTCAGTCTCTGACACACAGGAGGCACCTGGTCAGTGCTGGGTGAACAAACGTCCACACAGAGCACAAATGAGAGGAAAGAATCCTGTCAGGTGCTTGAGAGTTGGACATGACTTTTAAAATAAAATTGCCTCTCTACAGTGCTTTGTCCTCGAGCCTAACCTTCACATACATAGTGAGCACAGGCGAATCTTGGGTGTTGTGACCTGTACACGGTACTTACCCTTAAGCCATGCTGACCCGGGGCTCCATCAGGGATTCATCCATAATCCCGGTGTAGGCCCCAGAGGTGGCTGCAGTGTGTTCACTCTAGGGTGCCGGCTACGTGGTGATGGATGTGGTGATCTTACTTCATGAGACTCCTAGCCTTTCCTCCGCGCTGCAAGGAGTTAGCGGGTCCTCCCAGAGAAAGTACAAAAGGCCTCCACAAGAAAGACTTGAGGGAGGTAGGGCTTCTTTAAGTGGGACATAGTCTCGGACAGCCAGGAGAATGAATTATCAGTCCCTCAGTAAGTACTAAACTCCTGGTAAATGCCCAGCTTAGTGGGTACTTAGGTATGACAGAAATGTTTCAGTTCCTAGCTGTTTGGCAAGAAGAAACACACACGGAAATGCCACCAAAAATACAAAGCCGTCTGCGTGTGGTGCCGTATGAGTGTCACAGACAGAAGAACAGAAGTTGGGGGAAAAGTGTCACCGGTCTGATAGGGAGGCCTAGGCAGGGGCTGGGACGTGTGTGTCGGCCACATCTGAGGGATGGTGAGTTTTGTAGTTCAGCGGACGGGCTTTATGGAGAGAGTGGGAGGTCAGCAGGAGCAGTCATGATGATGGTGCTGGCTGCACCACGGAGCACCTCCTTGTATGCCGGGGTGGGGTTCCCTTCAGGAATCCAATGAGGCGCAGCCTGCTCCTCAAGTGCACCGCCCTGCCACCTTCCACCCTGAGCCAGGGCTGGGCTGCCAGCTTTCCCTGGCCTCACACAATTCAGGTAGATTTTCTGGAATACATTTTCCTTGCTACCAAGGTTATATTGTAATGGTAAAAACTGCAACTAATTTTGCACTAGCCTAATGTTCATTGCAATTTTTCTATCTAAAAAGTATGAAGAGGAAAACAGTTACCCATAATCTTACCGCCCTGAGAGAAGCAGCGTTAACCCTTGGTGCACTTTCTTCCAGGAGTTTTGTAGTGATAAGTGTCAGGTAGTGGGTGTGAGTAGCCAAAGCTCATACGGGGCTTTGTAATGAAAAACCCACTCTCAGCAACACGGCCGGCCCCAAACATGTCCATCATGAATGGGATGTACTCAGCTGTCTAGTTGGAAAAATTTCCCTTTGCCATTCCACAGAGCAGAGCTGACAGCGTGGACTCACGCACACTCCCTGAAGTGAGCCGTGCTCGTGCGGCAGTGTAGCCCTGGGCCGAAGGTGAAGCCGAGCCTCTTCTGTGCCACAGTCTCTTCCCAGAGCCCCAGGAGAGCCTCAGTGAGGGCCCCAAAGTGACCCAAAGCTGCTGGTATGGCCTCTGAGCCCAGCCCTGGGCCTGTCTGCTACACAGCTCAGGTGGCCTCTCTGTGGGCCTCCTGTCCATTTGCCATGCTCCCTGACTTGTGCAGACTTCTTCACCCCCTCCATGCCCATAGCTAGAAGCAGCTTTCCAGATGATCCATATGCTGTTTCCATGGGCCTGCCTTACTTCAGTCACAAGGGCTGGGGTGACTGGAGCTGTGGCTGGTGATCTTCACCTATTTGTTGTATGAAGTTAGAGCTGAGTTACTTTGAGTAGCAGAACATAATGCAGAGAGGAATCTGGATGGAATGACCAGCCCAGCCAGGGCAGGCAGTAGGCGGAAAGTGTTTGAGTTCAGTTGTACTTTGTAAGAAAATGCCTGTGCGTATAGCCTGGTGCCTGTCTTTATCTGTCATTTATACAGTGTGGACTCTGTGCCACTGATAGGAGGAAGCATCCTTTACTGACTACTGTATCTTGAGTACTGCTTACCATTCATCTCTGTGACATCCCTGTTTTACAGATGAGGACATGGAGTTTTAGCATTTGGGACTGGCGTGACGGGGACTTGCTCCCTGAGCCCAAAGCCCAGGCTCTTTCCACCGGGCCTTCTGCTGTCTTCTTTCTTCCTCACTGGGTTTTGCATTTAGCTTCCATCTTTATTACAAGAGGGTCTTGTGGCCCTCCAGAGGTCAGAGGCTGCTCCTTTGACCATGAGACGGCCATTTCATGTACCTCCCTGAAAAATGGAAGGCAAAGGGGTCATCGTGAGTACAGAGTCCTAGAAAAGCAACTTTCCAGAAGAGATTCCTCAGGAAAACCCTTTCAGGGGCTTCTCTCTGTGCCTTCCCAACTGCCTGGCAGGTGGGCCTCTTCCAGGAAGTGCCAGCATTGAAGTCACTGATTTCCTCCAGGCTTCTTTCCAGATGCTCCAGTTGTAGGTGTCCCACAAGCCATTGGGAAGCATTTCTGTATTCAGGTCCTAGTTTTCTAGGCCAGGGGTTCTCCAATTTTAGTGTGTCTAGAAATCACCTGATACTTACCAACACAGCTCGCTGCACCCCCTCCCTCAGTTGGGGCCCACCTCTGAGTGAGCAGGTCTGAGTGGGCCTGAGAAGTTGCATTTTTAACAGGCTCCCAGCACTGCTGCTGGCGCTGACGGGGGGCTGCACTTGGACTACCACTTTTCTAAGGTTTTTGCCAGAATCCCCCAGACCTGCCTTTCCATGGCCCACACTCCCCTTTAAAATCACCCTGCAGACCACCGTGTTTACTTTAACAATTGAGCCAGGCGAAGCAATGGCTGTCGTCTGACGTTGAGTGAGGTCATTGTCCTTTGGCCTCTGAAATCAGAAGCGATGTTTGATCTTTTGCTTCGTGTGGCCTGTGGAGCTCACTCTCTGGGGGAACTGGGCGTTTCAGGTGGTGAGAGCGGCTGAGGAGGCTGCGTCCACACTGGCCAGTTCCATCCACCCGGAGCAGTGCATCAAGGTGCTCTGCCCCATCATCCAGACGGCCGACTACCCCATCAACCTTGCTGCCATCAAGATGCAGACCAAAGTCGTCGAGAGGATCGCCAAGGAGTCGCTGCTGCAGCTCCTCGCCGACATCATCCCAGGCTTGCTGCAGGTAGGCCTGCGTGTTGGTGGGGCCCGCCCCCGGCCTGGGTGGGGCTGCCTAACTTGAACTAATGTTTAAGGGCTTTGTGCTCCTCCTTCACTGGCAACCAGGCAGGACCTGTGAGGCCATGCGGCAGGGACACTTTACAGCCTCCTCTGCGGCTTCCAGCTCACCCCCTCTCCTGAATGCACTGAGAAGACTTTCCTGGCGACTCACAGAATGAACTTTCTGTTTACTATAAACATATTTTGATCATTTTTTTTTTGTCCATTCCTTCAACAAACCCTTGTTGCACACCTGCTGTAGCCGCAGCCCTGGGCGAGGTGGGCCATTGAGTGTACATCAAACAATGGTCCTTGGTCTCATGCAGCACACAAATACTTACTGAAACTCTTCTAAGCATGAGACAGTGAGTGAGACAGACTGGCATCAAGCAGCTGTGTTCCACTGTGTGGACGGCCTCAGAAGATTTTCAGCCTACTGTGCAGCCACACAGACAACGACAGGTGTCACCATGGGCTCCATGACAGTAGAGAAGTGGTTCCGGGCTGGGGTCGGGGAGAGAGGGTTCATAGAAGAGGTGGGTTCAAGTTGGCCCTTGGCGAGGGAGTTTCACTGGGGAAAGGTAGAGAGGAGTCAGCATCACTTTTAATCATTGCTGCTGTTTGCTGGGTGCTTGGCTTGGGGATTAAACACTTAACTGTTGAGGACTAGATTATTCCAAACCAAGGGAAAGGCACAGAGGCTGAAGAGTCCCAGGCTGTTTGGAGAACAGCAGCAGGTAGCCCCAGCTGGGTGTGGGCCAGGATGAGGCCGACAGATAGATGGAGGCCCAGCTGCAAAGGGACGCGGACATCAGGCTGTGGGACCAGACGGTCCCCAGCAATTCCTGGAGGGTAGAAGGGTTTGCTCACAAGAGCGAGTGATGTTCATTTCTTGAAAGGCGTTTTCACAGGGAAATTTGCTTGACCTTTGGGAGAAATGGGAACAAAGCAAGTGCTCTTTCCCCTTCTTTGCCTTTTCTCATTCTCTCTCCCCTGCAATGTTTCTTGGATGGCAGCTTGTTACACGGTGGTGCCTGTGCAGACGCAGAGACCAGTCTGGGACTCGCCACCCTCCTGCTTCCGCGCCCCAGAAACCAAGTTTCTGTTGATGCTAAGTTGTGACCTCTTTGGGGTGAAAGCTGTCCTGGATTCCATTGCGGGGCTGAGGTCTATCCTGGTTGTTACTGACAAGTCCAGGGTTGAGCTCGGAGGGCATTTGTGGAAATGCTGATGAGATGTTGGCTAGGGACTGAATCTTTGATCTGGTTTCCTTTTCGTGTTCCTCTGGCTCTCCAGGGTTACGACAACACCGAAAGTAGTGTGCGCAAGGCCAGCGTGTTTTGCTTGGTGGCAATTTATTCCGTAATCGGAGAAGACCTGAAACCTCACCTTGCACAGCTCACAGGGAGCAAGGTATGTATAGTGTTACCCGGGCTGAGAAGCACACCTGGGCTGTGCCAGCTCGTCCTAAACCCATTTGACTGCAGCTCTGGATTCCAGACAGGTTTTGTTCATTGTGTTTTAGCGGGGCCTTATTTCTCCAATAGCATTTTTCTAAATATAAAAATGAACGATACAGTGAAATCAGTTGAAGGTAACACTAACATTATACAACATAGTCTGCCTCAACTCCTGTTTATGAAATGCTGATTTTGAGCTGCTGCTTTATTTCCAAAAGAAAACCAGCTTTAATCAGAAACCATCCGGTTTTTCATGGAAACACTAAAGAAATGTACCTGCTTGCTTAGCAGTTGCTGAATCAGAGCTGAGTCCCTCATGGGCATCAGTAGTGGCAACAGCTGGCTCTCACCCTGAGCCTGCGGGGCAGCCCCACGCACTCTGCATGTGTTGACTCATGTTTACAGCAACATCCCTGTGGGCATGGTCATCCCCTTAACCTGCCCCGGGCACAGACCTGACTCCAGGAGGCAGACTTCTTCCTCACACTGCTGCCTCTCATGTTCCTTTAAGGGTGTCTGGAATTAGGGGAAGAAAATGGACCAAAATGGGTGTCACTGAAAATGAGAGTGGCTGGACTGCTTATTGGTTTTAGTTAAAAGAACAGTGACATCACTCAAATCTGACGTGCTAGGCTGGTGAGAGCAGATTAAAAACCCGGCGTCATGCTGCGGCAGGAGAGGCATGGCCAAGAGGTGAGGCCTTGGCTCCCGGAGAGGAGGCCAGCTGTGCCTGGGGCCTCAGGACCTGCCTGTGGAGAAAGCACATCTCTGTGGGGTTTAAAATCCCCGCCTTTTTATACAAACCACTCTATCAGACAAAGCCAGTGGAAAGCATGAAACCAGAAGCGCCTGCTCTTACGAGAGGAGGAATTGGCAAGTGGGGCCCATTTCATTTCAGATTGAGCTGTTGCTTTGATACAGCTGGTGAGCATTACAGCTGGAGCCTTGCTTCTCCAGAGTTCTGGGGAAGCGAAGCTCTGGCTGGGGTGTTCAGAGCAGGGTTTCTCCACCTTGGCTCTGTTGACACTCTGGGCCACCTTCTTGAGGTGGGCCGTCCTGTGTGTGGTAGGAAGTTTAAGCAGCATCTCTGACCACCACTGTCTATACCGACATGTGCCAATAGCACCCCCTGCCATTGTAACCATCCCTGCTGTCTCACACCTGCCCAGATACCCTCCGAGGGGCAGAATCACCCCTGGTTGAGAACAGGTGGTCCAGAGGAGACACTTTCCTCTTTTTGTAATCAGGAATCAGCAGCTAGGCTGGAAGAGGTGTATGAGGCAGGTGTGCAGTGCATAGTTTGGGAGTGACCTGATTCTGTTCTCCAGTTCCTTCTCCTTGCCCTACTGCTGCACAGGCTCCTCATCAGATCCCCTTCCTGATTATCTGAATGGTCCTGAGCAAAAGTCCCCCCAGCTCTCCTACCTCCATCAGGGATTTGTAGGTGATTCCTGCTGCCCGGGAGGACCTTCGATGGTACAGTTCACAAAGGAAATTAGATTTAGAAAATGGAAAATTCATCCAAAAATAACATGAGTCACACCTTGGTTTTGTCTGGCACTTTTTACTTTCCTGAGTAAGAGAGTTGCCCCATCAACTCATTTGACCCTTTGGATGAGGGACAGAAAATCCAGGTGTCTTCTCCTCCCCATTTGGCAGTGGACCCACTGCTGCCACTCTTGGTGAAGCTTTGGGTCCAGAACCCACGTTCCTGACCAGGAGCCAGCACCTTCCCTCCCCCAGTTACAACCTTAGTTCCTCAGGGGTTTGGAGAGACTGGCCTTCACATCTTTCTGCTTTGGTAGCCCAGCTCATCCAGCCATTAAGTTTTTTATTGTTATTATTATTTTTTTAATATATGGAGCCTCGCTCTGTCACCCAGGCTGGAGTGCAGTGGCACAGTCTCGGCTCACTGCAACCTCTGTCTCCCAGGTTCAAGCGATTCTCCTGCCTCAGCCTCCCAAGTAGCTGGGATTACAGGTGTGTGCCACCACGCCTGGTTAAGTTTTTGTATTTTTAGTTGAGGCAGCGTTTTGCCTGCTTGACCAGGCTAGTCTCGAACTCCTGACCTCAGGAGATCCTCCCGCCTTGGCTTCCCAAAGTGCTGGGATTATAGATGTGAACCACCGTGTCTGGCCTAAAATTTTTTTAATGTAATAGCTCTGGTATATTCGTATGAACTTCGTAGACTCAGGTACACATCTCCTAATACAAACTCCCTCCCTTCCTCAACTGGATGGTAGCTGGCAGAACCTGGTGCTAAGTCTGTCTCAGTTTCCTTCACTAGAAACAAAGAGAATGAAGTCACGGCTCCCTGTGTTCCAGTGTTACAGGCCTATGGGAACACCCTCTCCTTTTGCTTAAATGAGGTTAATAAATGAAGGCCGGGTGCAGCGGCTCACGCCTGTAATCCCAGCACTTTGGGAGGCCGAGGCAGGCGGATCATCTGAGGTCAGGAGTTCAAGACCAGCCTGACAAACATGGTGAAACCCCATCTCTACTAAAAATACAAAATAAGCTGGGTGTGGTGGCACATGCCTGTAATCCCAGCTATTCAAGAGGCTGAGGCAGGAGAATTGCTTGAACCCGGGAGGTGGAGGTTGCAGTGAGCCGAGAACGCACCACTACACTCCAGCCTGGGCAACAGAGCAAAACTCTGTCTCAAAATAAATTTTTTTTAAAAGAAAAAGTAAATGATACCAGGGCCTGTAGGAAGAGGGCTGATGAAGGGAAGGAGCCTGTGTAGTACATTTGGAGAGATGCCATGTTGCTAGGGCAGCAACACTAGCTTCGGGGTCAGCTTGCCTTCTGGTCTCTGTTCCCCACTTAGGAGTTTTATGATCTTGAACAAGCGCTCTTTTCTTCCCCCCGCCCCCAATCTTTTTATTGTGGTATAATAAAATTTACCATTGTAACTTTCTTTTTTTGAGATGGAATCTCACTCTGTCACCCAGGCTGGAGTGCAGTGATGTGATCTCAGCTCACTGCAACCTCCGCCTCCCAGGTTCAAACGATTGTCCTGCCTCAGCCTCCCAAGTAGCTGGGATTACAGGCACCTGCCACCATGCCCAGCTAATTTTTGTATTTTATTAGAGACAAGGTTTCACCATGTTGGTCAGGCTGGTCTCGAACTCTTGACCCCAAGCAACACCCC